GCCCCCCCCCCCCCCCCCCTTCTTGGCGCTCGCTAACCGTTCGCACCCACCACACTGTCCCACAAACAACGCACACACGCACTTCTCAGCACGCTAGATGGCTGGCAGTAGTAGCAGCGTGACGATGAAGAAAAGCTATCAACGCTTGTTTGTTCTCTTGGCACCTTGGAGTGCTGGCTGGGGGGGGCGACAGGGAGGATGTGGCCTTGAGTTATGTGTACGCCTACTCAGGGTGTGTGGCAGCCCGCTGGCTGTGTGTCTTGTGAGCCTGTTTGTGTCTGTGTGTCGCTCGTGCGTGTCGTCATCATCTGTCTAGCGTCCACCCATACCGCGTTGGTGTCCAGTCCGAGCCTGGCTGTTCTTCACCTTTCTACCTACCTACCTACACGGGTCAGGGGTCAGCCTGGACGTGCCAGCCACGTATCCACGCAAGCGTGGTCCGCGCGCATGGCATACAGGCGTTCGATGTAGGCCGCACGTCGTGGCACTATGACGAAGGTAGACGTGCGGCTGCAGCGCGCCCGCCGCAGGCTCGGCGGTGCGCGCGTGTTAGCGATAAAGTTGCGGGTAGAGCCGTTCCCGACTTTTCGAATGCGAGGCCTCTGCGACGAGTGCCAGTCGCGCTGCGGAGCCACGCCCTTCGAGCCGCGTCCCGTCGGCACTACCCTCGAGTGCGTGTCGCCTTGGTTGGCGACACCCACTCGCCGAGGGCAGTCCGGCCGACGGGAGCCTGTCGCGCGCCGGCGACGAATGCGGCGTGCGTCGGCGGTTTCGAGTTCGAGGCGACGATGCGGGCACGACCACCGCCCTGCTTCCTGACCCGGCAAGGAGGGGCCTACTCCCGTTCCGCGAGGAACAGGAGGTCTCCCCCCCTCCCCCGGCCTGGGCAGCGACGGGTGGACGGCAGCCCCTTCCGGGTTGGCAGGCGAGAGTCTGCGGGGCTCACGAGCCGAGTCTCAACCACACGCCCCCGGCGCCTGTACTCCACCAAGTCAAAGTGAAAAGATCTTATCAGCCAGGCGGGCAGGGCAGGCGGGCAGGCGGGCGGGGTCAGGGAAGAGGGCCCTCGGGTTACGCCTCGCCCGGCCCCCTCCGAGGGGGTGGGGGGAAGGGGAAAGAGGGGGGCCCTCGGGGTGCGCCTCTCCCGGCCCCCTCCGAGGGGGGAAGGGAACTATTCTCTGTCCATCTACAGCTTGGGTGGTGGTACACTGCGTCGAGACAGCTCAGCCTCGCGCCCTGCCTTCCTGGAATACTTGCGAATACCCTGCTTCGCCGTGCACCTTCATTTCACGGTGTCGTGTGGGAAGAGCCTTGCCTGCCCTTTGCTCGCGCCTCCGTGGCTGCGCCGCGACATGGCGACCACGCGCGCCGCGGACGCGGTCAAGGAGAAGAAGTCGGAGGAGGAGGAGTTCCACACCGGGCCGCTCTCGGTGCTCACGCAGAGCGTCAAGTCCAACACGCAGGTGCTCATCAACTGCCGCAACAACAAGAAGCTGCTCGGCCGCGTCAAGGCCTTTGACCGGCACTGCAACATGGTGCTCGAGAACGTCAAGGAGATGTGGACGGAGGTTCCCAAAAAGGGCAAGGGCGTCAAGAAGGCCAAGCCCGTCAACAAAGACCGCTTCATCTCGAAGATGTTCCTGAGAGGCGACTCGGTCATCATCGTGCTGCGCAACCCGAAGTAGACTGCCGTTCAGCGGCGGGGGAGGGGGGCGCGGCAAACTGCCGCACGGGCCGCGCGCGCCGAACTTGCTGCCGCAGAGGGGGCAGCCGTTCGGCCGACTCGCTCGGCCGGCTGCGGGCGGGCTGCGCGTGTGTGCGTGTGCATGCAGGGCGGCTTCGCACGAGGGCTGCCTTCCCCCTCGCTGCCCCCTCCATCCACCCGCTCGCAAATGTTTGCGCCCGCCCCTGCATCGCTTAGAATCTGCCCCTCCCCCCTCTCACGAGGGCGGTGTACCCGTACTGTGGCGTCGCGTGCGCGCGCCCTCGTCGATCTGTCCGTTCCGCCGGGTATCCCCCGCAGCATGTGAGTCACTTAATCAATGTCAGAGCTCCCACTGGTGGATGATGCATGCCCGCCGGAAAGGATCAGGGGAATGCTCAGCATGGTGGTTCAGGTGCGGGCACCGAAAGCGGCGGTGACAACGAGAAGCGTCTTCATGGGGCGTTGCCGCTCTCGTGCTTCTCGGCCTGGATCATGGCTGCCTGGCGCGATGGCTGTTGTATACGCGGGAGTAGACGAATAAGACATCCCCCCTTCTCTCTCTCTCCCCACCGACCTCCGCCCCGCGCCGGCCGGTGCTGCGACTTGTGCGCGCCACCTCTCTCGCCCCAAGCCTCGCGGCCACTCGCCCCACCCCCGCCCCGCCCCGAGGCCTCACGCGACGGAGCTCGCGACAAACTGCGAGACCGTCATATCCGACGAGCGGACCGTCAGCCGCATGCCGACCGCCCGGTTCGAGTCCGCGCGCAAGTTGACTATCGCAAAGACCTGCATCCCGCCCAGGAAGACGCCCGAGAGCAGCACCGTCAGCTTGGTCACGTCGTCGGGCGCCGCGGCCGAGTTTTCGCACGGGGACATCCCGAGGAAGTCGATGACCGCCTCCATCGCCTGCCGGATCGAGTTGTACGACAGCGAAAAGGTCTCGACCACCTCGCAGCCGTTGCCGACCGACTCCCACGCGGCGCGAAAGTCGAGCACGGCGACACGCTTCATGAAGTCGGCGGCGCACACCTCGAGCTCCTCCAGCTGGTACTCGTCCTCGTACCCAGGCTCGTCGTCCGTCGGCCCGGTCGCCGGGTCGACGTCCTTGACGACAAACTTGAGCGTGCAGGGGATGGTGCCGACCGGCACACCCTCCAGCCGGCGCAGGCAAGCGTACGCTGTCCCCGGCTGGCCAAAGGGCAGCGAGGCGCACGGCACGTGCGTCTCGAGCGCGAGGCCCGGCACGGCGGCCAGGTCGAGCGCCACCGTGACGGAGGAGAGAAGCTGGTCCTCGAGCGTGTTGTTGAGCTGGAAGGCGAGGATGAGGTGCGACGCGTACAGGTGCTTGGTGCACACAACCTCGTACTCGGTCCCAACCTCGGACAGCGGCACGCGCTTCGACGAGGTGAAGCGCGCGCCCACGTGCACAAACTCGGGCATCCGCGACAGCAGGTCCGCCTCCTCGGCCGGCGCCGCCATTGCGGGCGCGGGCGCGTCGGCGGCGGGCCCGGCGTCCTCGCTCGCGGCCGCCGCCTTGCTGGTCGCCTCCTTTTGCATCTTCGCGAGCATCTCGGCGTCGATGGTGACGTCGTCGATCGAGAGGGGGCGCTCGGTGGGCGCGGCGAGGTACTCTCTGCACGACGCCTCGAGCGCGGCGAGCGGCACCGGCAGCGGCTCGAGCAGCAGCGACTGCGCCGACTTTCCGGCGAGCGTCGCGCCAGAGTCGAGCCCGGTGAGCAGCGTGACGAAGAAGATGGCGCGGTCGCGCACCTCGTCGTCGTTATCGTACAGGCAGCGCTGCAGCAGCACCGTGATCGACGGCCGCAGGTAGGCGATCGAGATGCCAAACTTCGCGAGCGCAGAGACGGCCGACGCGCGGACCGTCGCATTCTCGAGCACGACGCGGTTGTAGATGAAGCGGATGTACTTCGAGGGCTCCTGCGTGCTTGGCCCCTCGACGCCGAGCAGGTACAGGATCTGGGTCGAGAGCAGCGTGAACTCGCAGTCCTCGATGAACTCGCACAGGTGCGAGAGGCCCGCCTCCTTGGCCTCTGGCACGCGCGCGATGATGGAGAGCAGCGTGTCGACGATGGCCTGCGGGAAGGCGGGGGGGGGGGGGGGGGGGGGGGGGTGGCGAGTCGAGACGGGTGGCGCGCGGCGCGCCTCCCCGCGCGCCCTCTCGCCCGGGCGGTGGCGGGGGTCGGGGGCGGTGGCGGGGAGGCCTTTTTGTACTGGAAGCCGCCCTCCTCGCGCAGCACGTTTGCGAGGAAGGTCATGAGCAGCCGGTGCTTCTGCGGGAACTTGAGGCACATCGCGCGGATCGCGTCGACGACGACGATCTTGAAGTCGTCCGCGATCTCGGACATGAAAGACGTGATTTGCTTCATCAGCCGCTCGACGCCCGACTCGGAGCCCGTCTTGAGCAGCGTGGTGATGGCGAGCGTGGCGATGGAGCGGTTCGAGTCGTTGATGAGGCCCTCCATGTCCATGTTGCAGGGGGTCACCGCCATCGGGTGCGCCATCGCGATCTTGTTGAGCGTGCGCACGGCGGAGAAGCGGCACGCCGGCTTTGGCGAGCAGAGGAAGAGCTGCAGCACGGTGATCGACGGCGACAGCTCGCGCTGCGCCACCGACGTGAGCGAGCAGATGGCGGTGGCCGCTTCGTAGATGACCATGTCGGAGCGGTGGCGGAGCGACGCCTCGAGAAAGTCGAAGAGCGCGCGGTCGCGCTCCGAGCCACCGTCCTCCATCATCGCCTTGGCGAACCGGATGAGAAGGCAGTGCGCGAGCGGCGACTTGAGCGGCGTCCGCGTCAGCGAGGCAACCACCTTGGAGACGGCGAGGCGGTCCTGCCGCTTGATCTGGTGGAGCAGCGCGAGGGCGTGGTACTGCACCGAAGGGTTGTCCGATGCCAGCGCCGTCTGTACCTCGTTGACCCACCGGCGAACCACCTCGGGGTTGACGTGCATCAGGTGGATGCCAGAGACGAGCGCAGACGCGGCGACGAAGCAATTCTTGTCGACGAGCGCCTGCTTGAGGTGGCGCTCGATCTGCGCCAGCATCGTCGGGTCGGTGCGCGCAATGATGGCGCCGAGCACACGCAGCGCGTTCGCGCGGTTCAGGTCCACCTTGGAGTTCATGTCCTTTGTGAGCGTCGCGCAGACGATGATCACCTCCTCTGGGCTCGGCTTCAGCTCTTTGAGCACGAGGTAGAGGAGCCGCCGGAGCTGCTGGTCCTTGTGCATCAGCAGCTTGGTCACGCCGAAGAAGATCTCGGTCGTCTCAAGCGCGGTCAGCTTCTCGCCTGCGCGGCGGAGAGGCGCGGGGCTGGCGGTCGGCAGCGCGCGCCCGGCGCCCGCTCGCTGGGCGTTGGGCGCGCGCGGTTGGCGGAGCGCGCACCCTGCGCCAGGAGCCAGAGGATCTTGGTCAGGATGCTGATGCATTTCCGCGGGTTGATCTCGCGGTCGTTGAAGCACCTGCACTCCTGCAGCACGGCCGCCTTCTGCAGCGACTGAAACGGCGAGTACGATTCGTCCTCGTCCTTCTTCTCGCCCTTGGTCATCTGCATGACCGCCTCCTTGGCGCCCTGCAGCCACTGCGCGCCCTGCGCCGTGAGGTCCGAGCTGCCGCCCGTCGCCATTGCCATCGGCGGAGCGCAGCCGACACTCTCTCTCGACACTTTGTCACCCAGCGCCGCTGGCCTGCGCAGCACGATTTCTTTTAACATTAGGGGGGTGTTAAGGAGGGAAATATAGACCGACCCGCAGCGCCGCTCGTGCAACGGACACGTGAGCAGCACCCACCGCGCCCGTCCCTGCGACGCGCGGCAGCCCAAAAAAATAGAGCACAACCGCCAGTTCGCGCTGTGCGGCCTGCACCGCAGGACAGCGGCGGGCTCTCTTGCGGAGAATTTATTTCTCGGCTGCGTTGGCTCGCCAAAGTCTTTGTTCTCGATGGCGCTGTCCGCTGACTGGGGCGGGCGTTGTGCGCGTTTTGTGGAGAAGCAAAAACGCACGTCGTCCGGGTTCTGTTGTGTGTCGAGCGTGCGGGCGGAGGGAGGCTGAGCCTGTGGCGAGAGCTAGGTAGATAGAGGTTTAGAGCAGTGCGAGAGTTACACACGACCCACACTTGTAAAAAGAATCCACGCGCCGTACAGCTCAGGCAGGTCATGCGACAGGCTGAAGATCCATATACATTGATCATTGTGAGTTTCGGGTGTGCAGCGGATGCGGGTCGCACACGATGGCGCACGCCACCTTTCACAATCACATCGTTCGCCCACAAGAAGAGAGTCCCCCCACCCCCACCCCCGCACCCACCCACCCTACCCCTCACACTTTGTGCGTCACAGGTCCTCCAAGAATGGCCCCAGCACCTCGTCCCACGAGTCGTGCACCATAAAGTCGCCGAGGTAGCCGTACATACAAGTTCTTCTGAGCAGCGCCCGAATCCAGCCCCCTCAAAAAGAATCCACGCGGCGTGACGTGGCAGCAGTCGCGGCACATGGAGGCAGGTCGCTAGACTGAGAGATGATCAGCCTCTCTGAGCTGGGCTCGAGCGGGCAGCAGCCCCTCTGGCACGGCGGGCAGCACCCGGGAGGGTCGACGAGCGCTTCGTGAGGAGGGTGGTGCACCTTGTTGAACCGAATCGGCGCGGGGGGCTTGCATCCGGTGTTGGCCTGGCACTTCAAGAAGCGCATCTCGGGCGGCCCCTGCGGCGCCATCCGACCGTCGACGTACACAGCCTCGTACCGCGTGCCGGCGGCGGTCGGCGTGGCAAAGAAGGGAACTGTGGTCACCCCATTGTACTCCTCCCGGGCGGTAATCGCGTCGGCGAGCCCGCCCTTGGCCGCCTTCACCTGCTGCTCGCTCAGCGCACCGAGCCCATTGGCGTTGCTGAGCCCCGTCGGCATGATGCTCGCGTACAGAGCCATCGGCTCGGGCTTCCGGTGCTCTCCAGAGGGGTTGTCTTGCGTCTTGCCGCAGCGGCGCGGCCACAGAAAATCGGACTTTTTGAGGTCGGGCCGCCCGGACACGATGCGTTCGGCCTCGGCCTCGCTCGAGGCGAGGAAGCGGCCTTTGGGGATGCCGTAAGTCTTGAGGTACGTGCGGTACACCGATTCTTGCCAGAAGGCGTGGCAGCCCGGCACGGGAAGGCCAACCGCCTTGAGGCACTCTGCACAGCTGTAGAAGGGGAGCTCGCAGATCTCGCGCAGGCCGAAGGGTAGCGTGGTGGCAAAACCCATCGACTCCTTCTCAAGCACATCGAGGTCTGCGATGGCCTCCGGCTTCCAATCGCGGCTGACGTCCAGCAGCAAGTCCTCGGCGTCGCCGTCAGCGGTCAAGTCGGCGAGACCAAAGGTGTAGGCGGACAACGCCCAGAAGCCACCGGAGACTACGGGGGCGGGAGGAATGGATGATGAGTCGCTGATTGTTGTTGGTCTAAGCGTGATGTACGTGGTTGTGAAAACTGCAGTGGATCGGGCCAACGTGAGTGTTGCCACGTACTTCCAACGATGCCGTCAAAGTGGTTGAGCTTTCCCTTCTTGTGCAGGCCCCGCATGATCCCATACGTAGATACCACGGCTCGATTGCCTGCACCCATCAAGCACATCGCACTCTCCCACTCAAAAGGCGGCGGACCATACGGATCAGCAGGAGTGCTGGGAGGCAGGTCGCGGCCTCGGGTGCCAGCGAGCTTGAGCTTCTCCTGCTTTCGCAGTGACTCCACAAACTTGGGGTTCGGCCTGCTGCAGTCGGGCGGTGCAGTCATGCCGTGCCGCTAGTGCCTATCTTGTCGACGTACAACTATTGACGCGATTACGTCACGGCATTTTGAGAAAAATCAAGCCCTGACCGTCTGCAATGCACGCGTCGCACCCGCCCATTTCAAACGACTCGACCATGCACCATGGCCAAAGTATTAAGTTTATAACCTCCCCCATTGGTCTTTTGTTTCGCGCGTCTCCTCGAGCGGGTCCGAACGAGGCCGAGCTCGAATTTGGAGATATATATACATCACACATGCAGGGTATGGTTTAAATAATAACTGGCTAGACGCTTGAAGTCCTGGCCAGCTCGGCCGCTTTCGCCTCCGCGCGCAAGCGCCGCAGTTCGCTGACGAGCGCTCGACGCTCGTCCTCCGCTCCGCCGGAGGCATGCACAGCACCGACATGCGTCGCGCTTCCGGGCTCCTCGCTCTGCTCCGTCGAGTTCTCCGGGGAGGAGAGCACGTCCATGTCCTTCTCCACGACAGCCACGCGATGGATGGGGCTGTTCCCCTCGCAAATGTCCGGCTCAAAACTCGCCACGTCCGCGGCGTCGGAGTCCGTCCGAGGGTGCGGGCACGGCTCGGCGTCGGCGAGAGCGCTGTCGTTGGCGAGAGCAGCGTCGAAGTGGAGTCGCCGCGCGACCGTCGAGGGAGAGTCGGCTCGGAAGTGCGGGTTGGCCTTTGCAGGAGCCTCGACAGGGGCGAACTTGCCCGCGGAGCCCGCGACCGCATCGCGGCGCGCCTCCGCGGATGATCGCGCGGCCCATGGGGCTAGAGGCGACGCTGAAGGCGGCGCAGCTGTCGGCGGCGCGTCTGCAGGGTCGCCCGCGCCGGGCCCGGCGGCGTGCGCCGTCGTCAGAGCGCGGCGCCTCGGCTGCACGGCAGTGGAGAGGGCGAAGTGGCGGAGCCGCTGCGCCCTCGGCGAGACGAGCCGCGAGGACTCGCTCTCGAGCAAGAGCGGCGCCGCCGCGCCAGCCGCGGCGGCCGGCCGAGCGCCGTCCCACGCCGCCTGGCTGGCCGCAAGAGGCGCGCAGCACGGAGCAGATGCGGACGAGACGAGGGTCGAGGAGGAGGATAAGCTTCGGGGCGGAGCGCTGACCTCCCACCCGTGGGCAGCGGCGGCGGCGGCGGCGGCGCGTCGCGCCTCTGCCCGCGCGTGCAGGACGGCGGTCCGGACGAGCGACGGGCTGTGCCCGATCGCGAAGACCTCGTCGAGGAGGTGCGGCGCGTCGAACTCGAGCGTAAACTCGGCCACCTCTCGCAATCGAGTGAGGCTTGCGGGCAGGTCGAGCAGCGCCCAGCGGCCGCGCGGCGACGGCTCGGAGCGAGGCAAGCTGAACGGGGTGGGCACGCGCAGCGGGCGGAGAGTGGCCTCGTTCCGGAAGCGGACGCGCAGCCCTCGCACCGCGACTTGGCTGTGCGCACGGTACAGCAAGCAGATTGCATGCCTGCTCTGGATGCAGGCGGCGCGGTGCCGGTTGAGCCACGAGCCGCCCCAGTGCAGCCACGGCACCGCAGCGAGCGACTCGGCCGAAGCGCGCACCTCGCTGGGCAGCGCCAAGTCTGAGCGCCGCCACGCGTAGAGCACGCCGAAAGCGGCGCTGCCGTGCGGCTTGTCGGACGGCGGCAAATTCAAGGCCGTCAGCGGAAGCTGCGGCAAGCTCTGCGCTGTATCGGCGTGGCGAGGGGCCCGAGTGGGCGTGGGCGGTGCCGACGACGGCACAGCGGTCGAGCGGGGCGTGTGGCGGCGGTGAGGGTCCGTCCGGTGAGAGGAGCGGCGCAGCGCCCGCAGCTGCTTCCGCTGCGCCGACCCGCGCGGCAGGTCGGGCGACTCGCGCGGCCTCGGCGAGTGCGAGATTGCGATGACCACGGGGGTGGAGCTACCGAGGAGGGAGGCCGAGTCGGAGGTGTCGCCGGCCGACTGGGCGGGCTCCGCTCGCGCCGGCGGCAAGGAGAAGGTGAATGCCGGCGCCGGGGGCGGCTCGGGGGCCTCGGCAGCCCCGGCTGCCGATCCGCTGCTCGCGCAACCGCTGCTCGCGCCGACAATCTCGCGTCGTGAGTCGGCGGGAGCAGATGCCGGGACGCACTGCTCCCCGAGCTCCTTCCCGCCCGCCGGGTCCTCGGGCGAGCTTGCGAGCAGCCTCGGCTGCGGCGCGGAGTACGAGTGCTCGAGCTGAGCCTCCGAGGCGGCAGCCTCCGAGGCGGCAGCACCCTCGGAAGGAGGCGAAGCCTCCTCAGCCTCCGACGGGTCGTGCTCGCGCGGCGGAGGAAGCGGCGCGGCGGCGCGTGCGTACGCCGAGATGACGCTTGCCGCAGCCTCGCCGACGAGGGCAGCGAGGGGAGAGCGAGGCGGCCCGGGCGATAGCGACGGCGCTGCGCGCTGCGGCGGCGAGGGCGGCCGCTTCTCCGCCGGAGTCGCTGCAGGAGGGGCGGTTGCCTCGGACGCTGCGAGCTCCGCGACTGCCGGTGGGACTGCGGCGGGCGGAGGAGCGGAGGAGGAGCGCGGACGGCAGAGGGGCTGCTCAGTCGCCGCCTCCTCATCTGAGACCAAAGCAGCAGCTGGCGCGGTCAGAGCAGCAGCTGGCGCGGTCAGAGCAGCAAGTGACGCGGTGCCCTCCGTGCGCGAGACTGGGGCGGAGACCTCCGGTGCGGCAGACGGCGCGGCGGCAGCCTGGTTGCCCTGCGCCTGCTCCGCCTGCGCCTGCTCCTCTGTCGCCTCGGCCAGCGGCGCCGGCCGACCCCCGAGCGCTTCCCGCAGCGCCTCTCTCTCTTCCGAAAGCGCCTTGACCGCCTGCTGCTCCCGCTCGAGCCTCCTCCTGCACGACGCGAGCTCGCGCGCGAGACTCGCGCTCTTGCTGCGCGCCGCAGCGCACTGCCGCCGCAGCGCGTCTCCCTCGGCCCTCTCCCGCTCGAGCGCCAGCAGGACGGCCTCGAGCGACCGGTGCCCGCGCGGCACCGCCCAGTGCGCTCGCGTCGTGCCCGCAGACAGCCGCGAGCCGCCCTCCTCGCCCTCCTCGCCGACGGAGAAGGCGGACGCGCACGGCGCAGCGGGCTCTGCAGCCATCGGGCGAGTGGCGGCCCCTGCTGCCGCCGCCTCTGCCGCCTCTGCCGCCTCTGCCGCCGCATCCGTTGCATCCGTTGCATCCGTTGCATCCGCCTCGTGGGCGTGTGCAGATGCCGCCGCCGGGACGCCCTGCCACGCCTCCCGTCCTGAGCTGCTGGGGCACGCGGAAGGCGTCCACGGGATCGTCCACTGGATCGCCCTGGGGAGCGAGGTGGTTGAAAGGCTGGGGAGCGAGGAGGCTGGCAGCAGAGAGGAGGCTGGCAGCAGAGGGGGCGCGCGCTCCGTCGGAAGATCGGCAGCCTCTTCCGGGAGGGCTGGGGGCGGCGGCGGCGGCGGAGGAGGGGGGGGAGGCAGAGAGGGCGGCGGCGGCGGCGATGACGGGGGCGGGGGCGACGGCGGCGGGAGAGAAGACTGCGGCGGCAGCGGCGGCAGCGATGGCGGCGGTTTCGGCGGCGGCGGCGGTTGCGGTGGGAGCTGTGGCCGAACGACGCCCTCGGGGCTGAGCAGCGCATTGATCGCGGGCAGGCGCTGTCGCACGGGCGAGTAGGCCAGGATCTGCTGCGCCGTCGGCCGGAGAGACGCGTCCTTCTCGAGCAGCTTGACGGCGAGGAAGGCGAGCTCCGGCGAGTAGCGCGCAGGCAGCGGCGGCACAGGCGAGTGCAGGATCCTGCGCGCGAGCGCGAGCTGGTTGGAGGCGAGGAAGGGCGGGCGGCCCGTCGCCAGCTCGTACAGGAAGCAGCCCAGCGCCCAGACGTCCGACTTTGGACCGTAGGGCCGCTCCTCGCACATCTCTGGCGAAAAGTAGAGCGGCGTGCCGACGCTGCTGGTCGCCTGGTGCGACTGCTCCGACATGATCCGGCCGAGCCCGAGGTCGCCGATCTTGACGACGCCGCGCTCGTCCGTGAAGATATTGTCCGGCTTGATGTCGCGGTGCAGCACCCGCGCCCCGTGCATCGCACTCAGCCCAGAGGCGACCTGGATGACGGCTCTCCAGATGAACTCCTCGTCGGTCGGCGGGCAGCCGGCGGCGGCGCGGGCCTTGAGCCACATGCCAAAGTCCCTCCCGGCGTCCTCCATCACCAGGTGAAGCACATTGTCGTGGATGAAGGAATCGACAAAGCCCACGACTGAGGGGTGGCGGATCCGCTGCAGGCACGAAGCCTCGCTTTGCATCGTGGCGCGCTTGGTTTCATCGAGGCCGGAAAGCGGGATCCGCTTGACCACCAGGATCCTGCCGTCGCTGCGGCGGCGAACGCGGTGCGCCACGCCCGTGGTGCCTCTACCCACGAGTTCAATAGAGACAAAGGCTTCCATTGGGCGGTTGCCGCGAAAGACCGTCTCACAGGTATCAGGTTGGTTTTCCCGCTTCCCGAAAAAAAAACACCGAACCTGCCCCCCCGCCCCTCATTTCAAAACAAGCAGGGGGGCAAGGGCGAGGGAAGGTCCCTCTCTCACCCCAAACATGAGCATCCATGCAGACAGCGCCGGGCTGTTAGGCGCCCTCGACGCGCCCTCGACGCGCCCGGCTCCCCCCCTCTGCTACTCAGCCGAGGTGAATGGTGAGGTCGTCGCGCGGCGGCGAGCGGAGGCGGCGGTAGAGCTTGCTGTCGGCGCCGGAGAATTCGTGCGTCAGCGAGAGCAGGAAGGTGTTGCAGCAGAGGTCGAGCAGCTGCAGGCCGCGGTTCGCGTCGAGCGCGTTTGCGATCTCCTCGCCGCCGCCGTGCCGGATGGCGTTATGCGCGAGGCGGAGCTCGCGCAGGCGCCGGTTCACCTTGAGCATCCCCGCGACGCGGCCCGCCGCCTCGCAGCCGGCGAAGTTGCGATCGAGGAGCAGCGTGGCGAGCCCCGCCGCCCTGTGCCGCAGCGCGTCGGCGAGGGCCGAGACGCCCTCGTCGCCGAGGCTGTTGTGCGACATGTCGAGCAGCTCGAGGCTGGAGCCGCGGCCGAGCAAGCCGCCCCGCACCAGCGCCTGCGCCGCCCCCGCCTCGAGCTCGTTGCCCGCGAGCCGCAGCGAGACGAGGGCCGGCGCGTGCCGCAGCGCGAGGAGCAGTCCGCACGCGTGGCGAGGGTAGTCCTACGGGAAGGTTCCGAGAAGCATCAGGCAGGCTTCCGGGGGGAGCAGGGCCGCGCGCGCGGCGGCTAGTCTCCTCGCGATGGGCGACGCCGGTGAGGCGGCAGAGGCCGGACGAGGAGAGGTCGAGCGAGCGGAGCGCGAGCGGCTCCCCCCCGCCCGCCCTCGCCTCCACCGCCGCCAGCAGCGCCTTTGCGCCGAGCGAGGTGAGCGGGTTGCCCGGCACCTCCAGCTCGGCCAGGTCGGGGAGGAGGGCGGAGAGGACGGCGGCCGCGCCGTCGCGGGCGAGGCAGGGACCGTCGAGCCGCACGCTCCTCAGCCGGCGGAAGCGCGCGAAGAAGGCCGCCGCCTCCGCCAGCCCGAGCGGCACGCGGAGCGAGCGCAAGCAGACGCGCCGAGCGCCGGTCGCCTCGAGGCGCAGGCGGGAGCAGGTCGAGGCGGCGCGAAGCATCGCCGGCGTGTCGAGGGCGGTCAGGATCTGGCCGAGCAGGTCCGCGGAGAGCGTCAGCAGTAGGCTCTCCCTCGGCCGGCGCGCGACCTGCCGCGCCCGCCCGCCCGATGCGGAGCCGGACGGCGGCCGCTTCCGGAGCACGCGGCCCTGCACCTCGGAGCGGCAGGAGGCCGGCTGGGGGGGCGGCTTGGCGGCCGGGGGCGCCGGCACGCGGTCGGGGACCGTCTCGCGGCCGGGCGACGCCTCCGCCACCGCCTGCTGCGGCGGAGCGTCGCACACGGTGAAGGCCGGGACCTCGTCGCCATACTCGGCGTCGCGCTCGTCGACAGAGGCCACGAGGAAGGTGATGGTCGAGCCGCGTCGCACGTCGACGGTCTTGAAGCGCGCAATCTCCCTTCCGTTCACGAAGGTGCCGTTGGAGCTCGTGTCCGTGAGCTTGAGCCGGCCCGACGGAGTCAGCCGGAGCGTGCAGTGCGTGCCCGAGATCTGGGCATTCGCGATGCGATAGTCGGCGTGGATGCTGCGGCCGACGACGAGATCCGCCTTGTCCGCCGTGATGAGGAGGTCGGCGAACGAGGGCGAGTCGGAGAGGAGGCGGAAGCCTCGCCTCGGCATTGGTTCGCAGGAGATCGGTGGAGTTCCCGCGGTTTTGCTCGCACTGGCGGGATTTTTCTTCATTTTTCGTTACAAACGTTGGTGTCCCAGTCGTTGGTCGGACTGTGTTTCGCCTTCCCATCAATCAATCAATCAAACGACAGAGAACGAGACAAGGAGTGCAGAGAGAGAACAGAAAACACAGCTCTCCCCTTTCTCCCATTCATTCAGCTAACGTCTGAGCTTGTCGCCCCATGTCCGTCAGGTGCAGCTCCCCCCGGCTGCTGCTGCTCCGCCACTTCCGCAGAGGACGCAGGGCCCAAACGCGCCAGGAGTCATCGAGCCAAACCGTGAGCGCCGAAACGCCCCACGTGGCCTGAGATGGCAAACCATCCAACTTGTGTTTTCGCACTGCAGGTGGCCCCAGAGAGACCGGGGGCGCGAAAATTGAGTCGACCGACACCGAGGTGCAGTCGGCTGCACCGCTCACAAAGCTATGCGCACACGCTCGACGGGCACACTTTCGTCCTCAGGCTACTGCCGCCGCGGGCGCGGCTTTCAACCTCCTCCTCGCCGCTGCTGCCATCGATGGGGCAGCACCTGCTGCCGCCGCCTCTACAGCAGCTAGCGACGAGGGCGCTGAGGAGGAGCAGGGCGAGGAGGAGGAGGGCGAGGAGGAGGAGGAGGAGGTCGAACTTGCGACGCCGACGAGGAAGCGCAAACCCGCCGAAGGGCCGGCGGCGCCGCCGCAGCCGCCCCCAATCCGAGCTCGAACCGCCTCGGGGCGGACCCTCAAGCCCACCGAGCGCGCCGCGGAGCACGAGCAGGTAGGCCAATGCTTGTGTTGCCGTCTAGCATCCCACCACGCTGGCCACCCCTCATCCATCCCTCGTGTCGGGTAACTCTTCCTCTCACGCGCTGCAGGCACTCAGTGCAGAGCGAAAGGCGCGGGCGAAGCGCAACGCTGTGTCGACGAGTGGCAAGGGCGGCTGAGGCCTCTCGCACTGCTGTGCTTTTGCGGGAGACTGGGGGGGGGGGGGGGGGGGACTTGTGCGCGATGGCCGTGGACGAGGATGCGTGCTGGTCCGTTGCATCCTCGGAGGGGGCGGATGCAGGCCGAGGGAGTTCAACGCTCATCTAGCTGCATGTGTACGTATGTGATACGTGGTGCTCTGCGCCTGGTGTACTGTGTGTCTGCAAGCGGTGTGAGCGGGTGGTAGATGGAGATGTGGCAGCTTGGTTCGAGTGTGCTGTTGGGGCTCGTGTGTTGGTCCGAGGCCACTCGACGGGTGATCCGCGGTTGCGCTTTCTGCTTCCGCTCGGCCGCCTCGTTCGCGCCGGCGTGTGTGTGTGGTTGCTTGCGCCACCGGCTGGGCAGGTTGAGTGTTACGGGGAGGGGGGTACACACGGCGGGGACGGTTCATTGTGTCTTCGACACTCACGACGTGCCGTCGCGAGCGTGTGTACTGTGTGGCACCCTTCTAGCTGGCCACAGGCTAGGCCACAGGCTGCAGGCAGCGTGCGTGTGCGTGCGCGCCACCGCGCGCCCGGGACGCGGGCCACGCGAGCGCACGGATCCTCTGCGCTCGAGACGAGATGGGACACACACGCACACGGAGCGCGGGAGCGGACCTCAGGGCTCAGGTCCTCGCGGTCAAGGAGATTTTCTAATTTTGCATCGGCCATTTGGGAGAGGGAGAGTGCTGAGTGCAGAGTGGGAGAGAGTTTTATTTATGATTTATATCTCTCTCGCTTTTTAACATCGTACAAATAAACGGCGCGCGGGGCCAGGGCGCGCGGCAGGCTGGGAAGTGGGATCCGCCCATCGCCCATCGCCCATACAGTAAAAACGTCGCCCCAAGAGCCGCCTGGGATCGTCGTGCGAACCCGCGACATGCGTGCCTGCGTCGCCGCGCTCTGCCCGGAGAGCCAAGCCGGGTCGCTGGGGGCCTTTACTCACCGGCCGCGGCCGCGGCCGCGGCCGAAGCGGCCACCGCCGCGCCCCTTGCCCATCATGCCCTTGCCGCCCGGCATGCCGCCGGCGTCGGGCTTCTCAGAAGCCGGGTTGCGCACCGTCTCGTCGACGGAGAGGATGAGGCAGGCCGCCTCGGTCGCAGCGAGCAGCGCGTTCCGCTTCATCACCGTCGCCTCCCACACAAAAGCCTCGAAGGTGTCGCACACGCCGTTCTCGATGACGTCGACGCCGAACCACTTTCCTCCGCGCGCGTGCTTCATGCGCAGCTTGTTGAGCACGTCAGTCGGGTCCATGCCCGAGTTTGAGGCCACCTGGCGCGGGATCACCTCGAGCGCCTTTGCGTAGGCCCCGATGAGCAGCTGCAGCTTGCCTGCAGGCCAGGGGAACGTGTGGCGTCAAGAGGCGCGGCGGCAGACGCCGCGGGCGGCGGAGGGACCGTCGCGCTGCCTCGGCCATATCTCGGGCCATACCTCGGCTGCATCTCGGCCGCATCTCGGCTAGATCTCGGCGCGCCGTAGATCTTGCGCGACTCGTCGCGCAAGTAGGCGGAAAGCTCCATCTCGATGGCTCCGCCGCCGGCGATGACGGACGGGTGGCGGAGCAGCCGGCGCGTGTTCATGATCGCGTCGTGCAGCGATCGCTCCGCCTCCGCGATGAACTGCTCCGCGCCGCCCCGCAGGATGAAGGTGCAGGTGCTCGCCTGCAGCGAGGGGCCGGGGCGGCTCGGCTGCCGAGGCTGGCCGGCAGCTGCGGCTTGGCCGGCAGCGAGGGCGCGGCTGCTGCGCCTTGTCGCAGCCGGAGAAGAAGTTGAAGCGCTCGCCGCCGACTTGCCGCTCCTCGAACTCGCCGCACGCGCCGAGCACGCCCGGGCTGAGGTCGTTGCACGAGGTTTGCACCGCCGCGCCCGTCGCCTTTGCGACGCGCTTGAGGTCGCCGTCCTCGACGCGGCCGGCGCAAAAGAGGCCGCGGTCGGCGAAGTACTGCGTGGCGAGGTCGCCGATCGCGAGCTTGGAGAGGACGATGTTTGCGCCCGACGCGACGATCTTCGCGAGCTTGTCGTAGATGATGTCTGCGCGCGAGGGGCGGGACGGGCGGGACGGGCGGGAGGTGCGGCGAGCGCAAGGGGAAGGGGTAGAGGGGAGGCGGCGAGAGGGCGGCGAGGGGTAGGCGAGGGGGCGGCGAGGGGGCGGCGAGGGGTAGGCGAGGGGTAGGCGAGGGGTAGGCGAGGGGTAGGCGAGGGGTAGGCGAGGGGTAGGCGGAGGTGCGGGGGCGGCGAGGAGGAGGCGAGGCAGAGGTGAGAGAGGGGGAGGGGGGCGGCGAGGGAGGGAGGCGAGGGGGGCAGGCGAGGGGGGCAGGCGAGGGGGGCAGGCGAGGGGGGCAGGCGAGGGGGGGGGGGCGAGGGGGGCAGGCGGGCCGCACCCCACTCAGCGTCGACCACTGCCTGGTAGGCCGTGACGTCGGAGACGCGAACCTCGGCGTTGTCACGCTCGGCCTTGAGCTCGAGCTCGACGTTGAGCAGCACGATCTTCGGCGCCTTGAAGTGCTTCGTCATCTGCTCGAAGCCCGCATACGAGAAAGTCTTCTTGAAGGCGACGCCCTCGACGAGCATTGAGTCTTGCAGCGAGCCTCCGACCACCTTCTTGGTGCCGAGCATGTCGAGCCCCTGGGCCTGGTCGAGCGAGAGGACGGCGTCCACCACCATCTTCGCGAAGAACTGCTTGTGCCCCGACACCAGCTTGGACGAGAGCGAGGTCGCCGCACTCTTCTCCAGCATCGCGCGCACCTCGCCGCCGCTCTGCTCGAGGTTGACGGCGAGCGAGTCGATCTTTGCGGTGGCGAGCGCGACCGCCTGCCGGTAGGCCTTGATGATCACCTGCGGGTGCACGCCCTCCTCGATGTACGGCTTCGCCTCGCGCAGGAACTCGCCCGCCAGCAGCACGACGGAGGTGGTACCGTCGCCAACCTCGGCATCCTGCGACATGGAGATCTGCACGAGCGTGTTGGCGGCCGGGTGGACGACCTGCAGCTTCTTCATCAGCGTGGCGCCGTCGTTCGAGATGGTCACCTGCGGGCGGCGGGGCGGCGCACCGGTGGTGAGCGGCGGCGAGGGCGGCGAGAGCCGCGCGTGGCGTCGGCCGCACCGTGCCATTCTCGTCGTGGATCAGCTTGTCCATCCCGCGCGGCCCGAGCGTGGTCCGCACCACGTCAACCACCGCCTGCGGTGACACGGGCAGCGGAGGGGTCGAGCAAGGCGGGCGGCCCGGGGCGACGCCGTCTCTCGCCGCGCCTGGCACGCATTGATGTTCGAGATGAGCTGCGGCTTGCCCTGTGAAGTGTCGGTACCCTCGCGCAGCAGCACAATCTGCGGCTGCATCCCCATGCCGGGCATCATGCCGTGCCCGCCCATGCCGGCCATGCCGCGGCCTCCCATATGCTGATCAGTTGGCGGGAGGGGCAACGCCTGCGACTGGCCCGCGGCCGGCGTTCGTAGTTTTTTCTTTTCCCTACACGACCCACAAGTTAGAGGAACCTACCTACCTAGAGGTTATCATCTGTCTCGAGAATATAGGGCGTCACGTTGATTCGTCTCAGTCTCACGTGAATTCGTCCCTGTCTCACTCTCAGCGTCTCAGCGGTGTCTCAATAGATCCATCCATCACTCCGTCTCACTTCCGTCTCACTTCCGTCTCTCCTTCCTGCCGTCTCAGCGGTGTCTCAATAGATCCATCACTCCGTCTCACTTCCGTCTCACTGCAGTCTCTTCCTGCCTTCTCGTCCGTCTCAAGCGCGACAGGCTCCCGAGAGTGCCCGAGAGCGCCCGAGAGCGCCCGAGCGAGAGTGCCCGAGAGTGCCCAGATTGCCCGAGAGTACCCGTGCAACGTCGTGATGTGGTCGGGGCAGTGGGAGGCGCCCGAGAATACCCGAGATTGCCCGAGGTTGCGTGCTTGGGCTCCTGCCACTGCCCCGAGGTGACCACTGCACATCAGACCACATCAGTTCACGAGGGCGATCTCGGGTACTCTCGGGCGCCTGCCACACTGCCCCGACCACCTCATGAGGTTGCACGGGTTATCTTGGGCAATCTCGGCACTCTCGGGAGCCTGCCGCGCTGAGACGGACGAGAAGGCAGTCAGAGACGGAAGTGAGACGGAAGTGAGACGGAGTGATGGATCTATTGAGACACCGCTGAGACGCTGAGAGTGAGACAGGGACGAATTCACGTGAGACTGAGACGACTCCCAAAAATTTCCGGTAGGTAGGAATATAGAGGGTCCGGGGAGAATATAAGCAAAAGAATATAGATAGTACTGGGCGAGAATAACGCGCACAAGCTAACCTAGCATGCCCCGTGATAGCACCATCACTGCCGCCGTCCTGCAAGAGCTCGTCGTCATAGCCGTATTGCATCACAGCCTAGATCACAGCCTGCTGAACTGCGTCGTGTACGACCCCTGCCGTCCTGTCCTGCGCCTCAGCGTCGGAAAAGTCGAACTCGGAGTCATACTCGGAAGCAGGCACAGGGTTCCGGCTCCTAGCCGGATAGGGGGTCTGTTGCCACTGACTCTCAAACAAATAAATGAGATCAAGCTCTGGACGCCCCTCCTCAAGACCTCCTCGACGGGCGTTGGCAACCCCTCGAGTGGCGGCACGCCCGCCTCCGTCGGCCACTCCTACGCCTTCGGCAACACCGAAGAGAAGGCCCGCCGCCTGAACATGGGCTGCAAGGCGCGCGGGCAGCCCAGCCAACCCTTCTCCCACAAGACCGGCCACGGCTACGTCAAGGCGCATCGCGGTTTCTACCACGACGCGATCTTTGTCAAGCGCAACAACTTCAAAACCTGCTGCTCCACGAGACGTTCGGCGGCGGCTTCTCGCCCACCGCCGTTCTCAAGCTGCGCCGCCTCGCGCGCAAAGTCGCGCGCGGCAGCGTTGACCGCACGGCCTACTCGCCCAAGTACTCGCTCTCTTTTATGTCCCACCATGCAGAGCGCATCTCTCTCTCTGTTGTGCGAGGCGCCGAGGCGTGAACCGCGCCATTCGCTCTCACCTGGCAACCCTGTCTGCACGTCTCGCGCGCGCGTGAACAGGGCTCCAGGCCCCAAATTACGTGTGAGTGTTAGAGTTGTTTGGTATTGCTAAAAATCTCTCTGACTCTCTCTCTCTCTCTGACTCGCGCCAAAACGCCCTACCTACCTACCTATCCCCAGGCCGCGCAGCGAAGCGAAAAAAGATGAAAATAGGTGGTACGTACCTATTGCAGGGTTTCGGGCGAAACAAGACCAACCCGCAGGACCCCCATCCGGCTAGGAGCCGGAACCCCAGACGGCCGCGGTGATTGGTGGTGGGGGAGCGCTCGTGGCTCCCGCTGGTGCCAGAAGGGAGTGAAGGGTCATGGCTGTCGCTAGCGCTGTCTCCACCGCCGCGTTCGTCGTGAACATCCTGTTCATGATTGCATTGGTGCAGAGCGGGGGCGGGCTCTTCGCCGGCTGCAAGACGTTCGGCTTCTTCGACATCTCGGAGGATCAGTGCCAGTCAATCTTGTCGACGTTTCTCGGCTCCAAGCCGAGCGCGGCCGCGAAGGATCTGGTTTCGCTCGCGCTCGTCTTTCCGCGCGTCGAGGCGTGCCTGTTCCTCGGCATGGGCTTGGGCTCCATCTACGCCTTCATCATGGGTCTTGAGCGTGGCACGAAGGACGTGGCCGTGATCCACTTCATGCACATGATCTGGGCGATTGCCGTCTGCGCATGCCACTCGCAGAACGCAGGCCTCTTCGGCATGACCCCCGAGAGGAATGTGACGGGCGCAGACAAGCTCGTTCCCTTTGTTGTCCTGACGGGCGTCCAGGCTGTACTCTACACCGTGGCGTTCATTCTCTCCTCCAACTCTGGCGCGGCCAAGTCCAAGAAGAGGAATTAGTATTAGATCGGCTGCGCTCGATGCGCGCGTGCGAAGCGTCGGCAGTGCAAACCGTCAGGTTATCACCCCGCAGTGCCGGACGTTCGACCGTTCGGTTGGACGGTCTTGGAGCCACCCACGCCAGCCACACGGCAGAGAGCGCCCAGGGACACGTTTTTTTGAGATCTTCTAGTAGAACGGTTCTTTCAGCGCAAGTTCTTGAGCTCCAAGGGGGGATAGAAGCGCCGCCCCGTACACCTCCTCACAGTCAACCCCGTCCTCTGACCCGCGCTAACCGCTCTGGGACTCTGACTCGTTCTGACGCCCATCGACTGGTGCACTCTGCACACACTGCACAGGCCACAGCTCGCGCGCACACGGCTTCCCGCCCCGCATGCGAGGCCACGTGTGCGCTCCGGCCGCTCACCATCCGCTGCCCACCGCCCCACCCCCACCAAGCTCATCCGACAAGATTGGTCACCGGCTGGGACATGCACATGCACAATGCCACAGAGGAAAGGCACCTTTCCGCGCCCGTCTCCCTTGCCACGCAGCTGCCGCCGCCGGGGTCGCAAGGGACAGCCGAGCCGCGGGCGCCCCGGGGCTCAGGAGCCGCGCATGCACTGCCAGACGACCGAGTTGCACTTAAAGCCCGAGCCAAACGCGATCTGCCACACGCGGTCGCCGCGGCGCAGCTTGCGCGGCACCGCCGGCAGGTTGCCGTCGGGCCGGTGGGCTCCGCACTGGTTTCCATTCTCCGCGATGAGCTCGAGCTCGTACCAGATCGAGGCGGAGGAGACGTTGCCGTACCGGTAGAGCGAGAGGCGCGACGGCTCGAGGTAGTGCGACGGCAGCGCGAGGTTCTTCTCCATCGCGTCGATGACGGCGCGGCCTCCCGTGTGGACGCAGATCCACTCGAAGGCGGCGGTGAAGTCGGGGACGTACGGAGGCAGCGCCTTGAGGAGCGGGTCCTCGGGCTTCTCCGGCCTGGGCCGCGGCGGGCTCAGCTTGCCCGCCGCGCGGGCGGCCGGCTTTGGCGACGGCAGCGGCTGGTCGGCCGGGTCGGGCGTGAAGTTGACCAGCGAGCGGAAGAGCGGCAGCGGGACGAGCGAGCGGGCGAGCGACTTGACGGGCTTGCCCGCCTTGCCGCGGGCGGCCGTCCGGGCGACCATGTTGAAGAAGAACTTGAGCTGCTCCTTGAGCGGCAGCACAAGCGGGCCGAGCGCCGTGATGTTGCGCTTGAGCGCGTCGCCCGCGATCTGCATGATCGCCTTGGAGAGGCGGACGCCGCGAATGCCGTCGGCGTCCTCCTCCTGGATGACCGAGTTGTAGGCGAGGTCGTCCTTGCCGACGTGGGTGCGCACCGTGTGCAGCAGCTTGAAGCGCGCCCGCCCCGCGTCCGACCCGCGGTTGGAGAGCAGGATGGCCGCGGCGCCGCAGCGGAAGAGCGTGTTTTGCAGCAGCATGCCGCGGTCGTTGCCGCGGTACCAGTTCTGGGTGATGTTCTCGGTGGAGACGACGAGCGCGAGCGAGCCCTTCTGCTCGTGCCCACGCAGCAGCCGGCGCGCGAGGTCGATCGAGATGCCGCCCGCCGAGCAGCCCATGCCTCCGAGGTTGTAGGTGAGGCAGTCGGAGCGCATCTTGAAGTGGTTGACGAGCATGGCGGAGAGGGAGGGGGTGGGGCAGAAGAGGGAGCAGTTGACGATGACGATCCCGATGTCCTCCGCCGCCGTCCCCGTCGCCGCCAGCAGGTCCGCCACCGTCTTGCACATCATCGCCTCCGCCTCCTCGCGCGCGCCCTTCATCGAGAGGCCGAGCACCTCGGCGTCCTTGCCGAGGGGGTTCTGGCCACTCTTGGGGAGGATGGACTCGGGGAAGATGGACATCTCCGAGATGCCCGACGTCTTCATGATTTTCTCCTGGAACTCGATCGACTTCTCCGTGAAGCACGGCTCGCCGAACCGGTTGAGCGCGGCCCGCGACTCGGCCATAAAGCGCTCCTGCGACGCCGGCACGCCCGCCGTGGAGTCGCGGTCGCCGCCGTCGACGCCGCAGTGCCGGTACGTCTTGAAGTCGATGAGGTAGATGGGCGCCGGCCGGCGCATCCACCGGACGGTCAGCAGCCACACGGAGAGGCACACCGCGACCGTCGCGCCCGCGAGGGAGCCGCGCGTCAGCGTCACAAAGTCGAGCAGCGCCTCGCCGACGCCGGCGAGATAGGCGAGGTAGTCGGCCTTGCAGGACTCGCACCACGCGAGGTAGAGCGTGTAGGCGCCGAGCAGCAGCATCGAGAAGCGCATCACATAGTCGGAGAGGTCGCTCGCGACAAAGCCGCGCACGATGTCAACCCGCTGCGTGATCCACTCGTGCGGGGCGCGGGCCCATTGAGACGCCTTCTCCAGCGGCTCCTCCGTCTCCGAGCCCGTGCGGAGCGGCGGCGGCGGGTTCTGGGAGAACTGACGGCGGAGGGACATGCGATAGAGTCCGACCCCTCCTCCTTGGCAACGCCGACGACTGTCATCAAGTTGGAAAAAGAAATCATAGGCCCGCGGCTCGCGGCAAGGGGTATCGAGGTTTCGAGCAAGGCCCCTCGACCGTGTCTTGTTCTAGAGACGTGGAGACTGGAGTCGCGACCAGTCACCGACCAGCGACGAGGCACTTCCAGGGTTGGCGTTGCCGCCCCAGTCTCGCTCCCAATACGTGCATCACTTTTGTGACGCCGTCACAAAAGTGATGCACGTATTGGGAGCGAGACTGCTCCCTTGCCCCACACCACTTCGACACTTCGTGTGTGAGTGTGGAGAAATTCACTTGGAGCACTTGGAGTGCAGTCGGCAACCTCACATCCAGGGCCGGTGAGCTGAGAAGCGCATCCAGCGGGCCGGATGATCGGTATCGGGTTACGGGCTAGAGAGCCCTAGCCCCGGGGGTGCGCATTCACCTCTTACTTTACTTACCTTGCCCAACCCTGTACTACCGTACTGCCTGGTGGGGCGCCAGGGTGGGGCGTCACTCCTTCAGGGACAACGCTCGAGGGACAACGTCGCTTCTCGCCTCGCTCGCCGCTGGCGCTGCTCGCTCCCCGGGCGGCTCGCACGGCGATTCCGGCACGGAGCGCCGTCGCCCGCCTTTCAGACAGCCAGTCGCCGAGATCGTGCGGCGCACTCCTGCCGCCAGCCTCTCGGCGGTGGGGTGGAGGACCACCTCCGCCTTGATGTCGGCGCGGCGCGGAAAGAGCCAGTGCACGAGCAGCATGGTCACGCCGAGATACGCCAGCACGTTGGAGCCGAGCTCGGGCCAGTTGGTTGGGTTGAGCTCCTCGACGACCAGCACGACGCCGTTCGGGCTGTACATGGTTGCCCGAAAGGCGCGCAGCGACCGGTTCGCGGAGATGTCGCGGAGCCGCAGCTCGTCGGGGATGTAGGACTCTATCGAGGGGCTGTAGTCGGCGAGCGGGTCCGGGAGAGGCTGGTACCACAAGCCGTCGGTGACGCGCAGGCTCGAGGCGACGGTGGACGTGTAGTTGTCGGTCTCGTGCGTGGTTGGCCAAATGAACGCGTGGTCCCAATTGTTGATGACGTAGCGCGTGGCGGTGACAGCGACGGCGTGGTGCTCGTTCGCAGCGAGCAGGAGCGGCGAAAGAGAGAGTGGCACCGTGCTCTCGTCCCTTTGGAGGCAATAGAGGGCGGAATGCAGCACCGCGCCCTGCGCTGCGGCGCTGCCGTCGTCGGACACCTCGAGGAGAGCCCACAGCTCCAGCTGAGAATCCGATGCGTTCTCTCCGCCAAGCTGCGCCCGCTCCCCAGACATGTTTACGTTGTTGAACTGAACGCACTGCCGATCCTGCGCTGTCCGACCCATCACGTCGAAGTCGTCGTCAAGGGAGAAGGAGCAGTTGCGCCTCACACCTCCGTGCACAAAGTCGGCGCAGCCCGCTGTCAAGATTCTGGTTGGCGTCGCGTTTTTCCAGCAGAGGAGTGCGAGCGGGGCGTCAAACTCCTTCACAACAGGCGAGAAGTGAGTGCCTGGGTTCGTTCGCGCTAGGAAAGCATTCACCACCACCCAGCCAATGAGCGTCGCGAGGGCGGTTACAACGAGTGCAGTCCACACGCCGAGGCACACGTACCGCTGAGGAGCAATTTGAACGCCAAGCAGACTGAACACCTTGAGGTCAGTGCGATTGGATCGTGAGATGCCGGAGCGTTCGGGCTGAGGCTGTGGCGAAGCTTCGGATCCGTCGCGCTCACCCAGAGGTTGCTCACTCATGTGGCCAGCCGCTGCAGCAAGCAGAGGGGTACAGTGGGGCATTAAGAACGCGGACTGGCCAGGACTGGGCATTAGAAAGCGTCCCAGAGAAACCCTGCCAAGCGATTTCCGCAAAAATCTAAGAAACCACGGCGCGCCGCAGGCGCGGCCCCGAGAAAAGGCCAGACGCGAGTGTGAACGGGAGGCCCAGCTCAAAATTTCTCTTCGCCTGCGGCGCGCGCACTTGTCACTTTCCAAGTCTCGGGCATCGGCTGGGTCGGCGCGCCTGGCGTGCTCCTCAACCTGTACAGCGCGCATAGTTACGGGTGGGGAGAGATGGTCCGCTTCGAAAAAGAAAGAAAGAAGACGGACCCAAGGGAGGGATGGGAGGACGGCACGCCGCCACCACACAGGGATTTTGAGGAGAGGAGTGTGGTGCTAGCCGTCGCCCACCCTCGGGCGTCTACCACTTCCTATCTCTCTTCGCAGTTTCTCGCCGATTCTCGCTGCAACCTTCATGGATCATGCCACCCCTCGCGGTCGTCCCCCTCTCGTCGCTCTCCCTCCTGTCGCTTCCTCCTCTGTCGCGTCGCTCTCGTCTGCCTCGTCCTGCGACGCCGCCACCGCCTGCCCCCGATCCTTGCTCTCGCGGCTGCTCCCGCCTTTCGGCGCAACTCTGCCCTCCTCGCGGCATATTTTGGCCCCTCGAGTTTATCGAGCTCTCCTCGCGCAAGGACGACTCTTCTGACGCCCACTGCGATCATTTGCCGCCAAGTCATATCGTTGCTCAGGTCGGCTTCGAATGGGCAAAATTCTTTTGTCGAACGAGGCAGACGGACACGCGCCACTTTTTCAGACCACATGGCGAAGAAGAAGCAGTCCAAGGCCTCCTGGCGGAAGCGCGGCGCGTCGATCGAGGAGGCACTCCGCGTCGCGCGCGAGGGCGCCGACCAGGACCGGCGGACCGGCGGCGCGCTGGGAAGCGTCAAGTCGGAGCGCCTCTTCTCGCTCGACACCAAGCCGGGCAAGGGCGGCCGCGAGCAGAAGCTGAGCCGGCGCGAGCGGCGTGAGGCGCAGCCGCCTCTGCACGTCGACACCGTCGTCGCTGGAAACCCGCACATCAAGCCCATCTCGGAGCCGCGGCCAAAGCCGGCCAAGAAGCGGCAGCGCGAGGCCGAGCCGGGCGCTGCCGCACCCGCGGCCGCTGCGCCTGCGCGCCCGGCGAAACGGAGCAAGGCGGGCAAGATCAAGGCGCCGAAGCCCGTCCCGGTCCTTCCCGCGCCGGGCCCCGCCGGCCAGCTGCCTCGCACCTCGCTCGGCGGCCTGAGCGACGTCTGGGCGGAGGGCGGCTGCGCGGAGGGCGGCGCGGAGGGCGGGCCGTCGCTGCGCCGCCGGCCCGCGCGCGCGGGTCCCAGCTCGCTCCACGCGCCCGAGCCGACCGGCAAGGCGAGCGTGCCTCGCGTGCGCGTCCCGTCCGAAGGCGCCTCCTTCAACCCGCCGGCAGAGGCGCACGCGCCGCTGCTCGCCGCCGCAGTCGGGCACGAGCTCGAGCGGGAGAGGCGCGAGGAGCGGCCGGCGTGGCGGCTGGAGCGGGAGGCGATCGAGGCCGCGGCGCGGAGGGCGCTGGTCGACCAGGCCTCTACGACGAGCTTGCCTCTCCGCGAGGGCTCGGGCGAGGGCGACGAGGGCAGCGGCGGAGAGGAGGAGGAGGAGGCGGGCGTGCCGATCGTGCGCCGCGCCGTGTCAGATCGCAAGAAGACGGCGGCACAGCTGAACCGCTCCCGCCGCGCGCGCGAGCGGGAGCAGGAGGCCGCTGCGGCGCGCGAGCAGCGCAAGCGCGAGGTGCAGCTGGGCCGGCTCGGCCCAATCCTGTCGCAGCTCTCCAAAGAGGAGCGGGGGAGGGAGAGGCGCCCCGAGGCGGCGGAGGAGCGCAAAAGCCCCCGGCCCAAGCGGTTGGGTGGCGGCCGGTCCGGCCCCCCCCCCCCCCCCTCCCCCTCCCTCTCACACTCCGCCCTCTCTCACACACACCGCCCTCTCTCCCACCGCCCTCTCCCACCGACGGCCGCGCTGTGCCCAGGCAAGCTCAAGTACGAGGAGCTTAATTAATTAATTAATTGATTAATCAATAGGCAAGCTCAAGTACGAGGAGCGGAGGCCGGAGGTGCTGCTGTCGGAGGAGCTCGGGTCGTCGCTGCGCGCCCTCCCGCGGCCGGCCGAGGTCGACTTGCTGGCGGACCGATTCGACTCGTTCAAGGCCGATTCCCCGAGAGACTGCCAGAGACTGCCCGAGAGACTGCCCGAGATTGCCCGAGATGGCTGGCGGACCGCTCGGCTCGTTCGCCTCGCTTGGCCGCGCCCGCTCCCCCCCCCCCCCCCCTCCCGCCCCTCCCCCGCGCTAGAAGAGCGCCCGCGGAGCGTGAGTCGAGGGCCGCGCTGCGCCGCAGGAGCGGAACCTCGTCGAGGTGCGCAAGCGCGCCGGCAAGCCGCGGCGCGCGAGGCGGCAGGAAGTGACCAAGGAGTCGCACAGGGACCGCAGGTACAACGCCGCCGGGCAGCCGCTCGGGTTCGACAAGTCGCCCGCGCCGGTCTGGGTGTAGCCGCGCCCGCCTCACTCTGTGCATGGTCACGCCGACGCCGCCTTGTGCGCGCACCGAGTCGTGTGCCGTGTCCTTGCGTATCTGCAGCAGCCTCTGCTCTTTTTCTGGCCGCGTCGGAGATCCTCATATATGATGGCTATTCTGTGTGCCGTCACTATTTTTGTTACGGCTGTGATATTCATATCTATATTGATAATTTAATATACTTTAATATTTTATATTGCGCTTTTTGTCAGAGGAGACTTAAATAAATAAATTTATTTATTTAATTTATTTAAGTGACGTGCGGGGTCCGACACACATGTGCATGGACCATGGTGGATGGAGGATGGTGCACGCGGCTCACGAGACATTTGAGAGTAAAATGAGCATGATCCATGAAAATGACAGAGCCTATCTCTCTCTCTCTCCACGCGGTGCCGTCTCGCGGATCCGCTTCTCTGGTTGGAGTCTAGACCAATGGACCCCTGCCACTGTGGCCGCGGCGCAGGCCAACAGACCACGTACCTATGGTATGGCCCCCCACATCCCATTAAGCCGGGGACCCATTACACTCGGGATGCATTACGCAGATGAGCTGTATACCGCAAGCACTGGTCCCTGGACTAATTGGGCCCAAGCAGCTTTCAACCGGGGGTACCGGGGTGATTACACTGACCCAAATTCCGCTAACGGGACAATACGGCCTGATTGGCGCGACTACGCGGCAGAAAGAGCAGATTGGTCACGCGAGCAGCAAATCAGTAACTTTGGGCGCGTAGTGCAGACGTTCAGACAGGCGGTGGCACGGATCGTACGGCGGGCCAAGTGGCGCCGCATCATCAGGGGCCTAAGACTGCGCGCAAGAGTTGGAGAAATACCAACATTTTTGGGGCCATCGGGAAGCGACATTTTTCGGGCCCCTAGTATGTGGCCCGTAACGAGAAACTTAAGGGACGCAACTGAGGAACAAGGCCAAGCATGGAATAGTCGGATGGGGTTCCCGGCTGATGGGGTTGGGGTGGGTCGGCTTCGTGGGACAGGTACGCGGGGGTTCAACTAAAAAGAATATCTGAGGCTGAGATAGGATGCCCCAACGCCTATGGTTGGAGCGCCAGCGTTGGTATCATGATTTCATGAATGGAAGAGGTTACAAGGATGAGATGCTTGCAGCCAGCGCTTCATGGGAGGTTCGCCATGCTTTTTTAAGGTGTATTATGACGATGAGGAAAGGTTTGGATACCTAGTGCGGAAGTTGCGTCAATTTCTGTGGAACTTCGTTCGGCGAGGGCGGTGGCGCCGCCTCATTAAACTCGTAGAGTATAAGCGTCGAATGGAGTTGGAGAATGTTGCACGTCGGTTAGAGTTTAACGAGTAGTTGGCATAGGTTACTGCAGTGCCACGCGACCGTTATACACACGGCGCCCCTCTGAGATTCGATTGAGATGCACATGAGCTCGCCAGCTCGCGCGTGTAATTCGTCGATCGGCCGTCATGTTCACACATCTCACTGAGATTGTTATTCAAATTCCATGTTCACAGCAATTGTCTCCCCTTTTTTTTCACCACCTGAGATCCCGAATCTCAGCCCTGCAATTATGACCCCAACTGCCCTGCCCTGCCCTGCCGTACTGCCATGCCCGCACACTGCCGCACAACTGCCCTGTGGCCCCTGCCCGATCCCCTACCTGCCCCGGGTGTGAAACCCACACTGCCCTGCCCGGCCCAAACCACACTGCCGAGGTGTGAATACCTGCCCGCTCCCGAGGTCTCGGAGAAACTTGTGGAGCCGTATATGGACTCCGTGTTGATTGAGCGACGCACACCCCTCTCTCTCCGCTCAGAGACCCACACGACAGCCGCCTGCTAAATGTAGATCTCGCTCGCTGTGCGGCGGTGCGGTGCGTGGCGCGAGAGTATGGGGAGCCCTTCCTGGGCGCCCCCGCCACCTCCTCCATCCAAGTTGACCAAGTCCCGTCTTCCTCCTCCCCAAGCACCGAGCCGCACGCTCCTCACCCGCGTGCGAGAGCCCGGTGCCTTAGCCCCCCGAGCCCTCAGAGCCAGCCATGCCCCCGGTCGGCCTCGGGGAAGCTTCACACACCGACTCCCGAGCAGAGCAGGAGGGCCTGACTCATGCTCCGAGGGGGGAGGGGCTGGCACCGGCCTCCGCACCGCGAGTGGCGACGTGCTCACTGCCCGCCTCACTGCCCGCCCCCTCCCGCGCCCGCCCTCGCCGCGTGGCACGCCTGGCAAGACGGCGGGGGCAAGCCGAGTCACGGGCGGGCGAAAGGCAGCGAGGGGGCGTGTCCGCGAATCGGCCTGGTAGAGTAGAGCGGCGCCGAGCCCGTGCATGCCTACAGAGCAGCGCAGAGGAGCGATCTGCAGCGATCTGGCCGCCTTGCAGTGCGAGGGCGGAGCGGCGGAGGCGGGCGGGCCGAGGTGCGCGAATTGAAGCATCGACTGCCGGTGCAGCTGGTAGAGGAGGGAGAGGGAGAGCAGCAGTAGCGTCACCACCGTCACCAGATCCGAAGTGGAGTACGGCGTTCCCGAAGCGGCCACCGCGGCGCCAGCCACGCAGCAGAGCCAGCTCACCCCGGCAACCTCGCCCTCCGATCGCAGCCGCGCCTCGGCTGCCAGCGTCAGCAGCGCCGCCCCTCCGTGTGCAAGCAGCCGCCACGCGCCGAGCGACTCGAGCCCGCCGCCCCCCAGCCCTCCCGGCTGGGCCTCTGCTGCGGCTACCAGGCTGACGCACTGCAGCGCGCAAACCTACGGCCCAGAAGCCTCCTCGCGTCAGCGCCGCCCGCCTCCCCCTGCGCCTGGCCCCGCCCCCTGGCCCCGCCGCCGCACGCGCGCCTCGGCAGCGCGCGCGGGCCGCGGCAGCAGCGCCGGCCGCCGGTCGGGCAGCAGCCGCGCCGCGCCCCGTGCGGCCGCACTGCTCCTCGAGGCGTAGGTTGCGATGGCGAGCGCGCTGGCGGCGGCGGCGACCGGGGTGGAGCCGCGGCAGACTCCGATGGCGGCGGCGGGCAGCGCGGCGAGCGGCTCGAGCGTCGGCCTGTGGGAGAAGGCGCGGGCCAGGGGTTAGGGGTTAGGGTTCGGGTCAGGGTGTGGGTTAGGGTCAGGGTCAGGGTCAGGGTGTGGGTTAGGGTCAGGGTCAGGGTCAGGGTGTGGGTCAGGGTGTGGGTTAGGGTTGCGGGGGAAGCCGCGGGCCGAGAGCGTGTGTGGGCGGTCTGGGCCGAAGGGCGGCCAAGGGAAGGGGCGGTTGGGCGGCGGTGGGGGGTGGGG